GAAAATAGCTCATTATAGTAGCATTTCTATTTTTTGCACTGTAGAAAAATTATAATTGATTTCTTGCAAGTAGAAAATGTTAAAATACTTATAGTATATGATATATTGTTTCTTCTTCATATAATATGGTAACTGTGTATCTTTCTTTTTAGTATCTTGTTTCTAATTATAAAAGAATATATGTTCATTGTAAGAAACTTAAAAGATCCAGAAAGTCACAAAGAGAAAATAAAAGTCTTCTCAATTTCATCAGTCAGATATAAAATCATGTTTATATTTTAATGTATGTCATTTTAGCCCTTCTCTTATTTCAAATATATTTGTGTTTATGTATACACATATGACATAATGAATATACTGGTGGAAAACGTAGGTTTACAGTTGTAATACAAATAAATAATACAATAATTAATAAATAATAATAAAAAACCTGTTTTACATACTCATAACTGTAAAGCTACTTTTTCCAACTCCTGTATTTATATATAAATATATACAATTTCTAATATAATATAATTTACTCACTCTCTTAATGTTGACATTAGGTTTTGTTTTTCTAATTTTGACAGATGCAATTATTTCTGTCCCCAGGTTGGTCCTACTAAGTGTTGCAGAATGAATTAAACATTGGCCATCAGAAATGGCCCCATCTTTCCGATTAGAGATTATCAAAGGGTTGGAATTGGAAGTAAGGGCGTTATCCAGACAGGGTGACTGGCTCACCAATGGCAGCATGGTTGTGCCTCTTTTCTTCTTTACTTTTTTACTTTGGAGCGTGTCCTTCCTTGCCAGGGCTGTCACAGAACCTGGCATAACTCTTTCAAATGAACATCACTTTCTGAGATTGAAGGTTACAGAATTGTTTTTAATGATGCTTCATACTTTAAGCGAGGCATTCTAACATGTTTGCATGAATTCTTGTTTAAAGAGAAGGAAAGACAAAATAGTAGGTTGGCTGGTCACAAATGGAACTTTAGTAGTTACCAGAGTTTGCTACATTTCGGGGGACAGAGTAACATAGTGAAAAGTCAGCACTTATTTGCAGTGTGCCTTGAGACAGATCACTTAATCTCTCAGGCCTCAATTTCCTCTTCTTTGAAGCACTAATATTAACTGTTTAGAATTTGTTTTTAAGGATTATGAAAATTATAGGTAAATTCTGTCAAGCGTGGTCCATAGTAGGTGACAAGCTGTTTTTGCTATCATTATTTTTGTTGCTTAGAACCACTCTAAGTCATCTGTTTAAAGTCAAAATGTAAGTAATTAATACATATTCCATAGACTAGTCTTCGGAGGTGACTGAACTTGGAAGTTGAGTTGAGAAGTGGCTTATTGAAATCATAAAATTAGAACTATGCGATCTAGGAATTGTAGCATGCTCCTGATTTTCTCTTGTATAATCATTGGGCAACTGATAGACAGCAAACTATTTTTCTCACGAACAGGCATGTCATCTATGCTCCCAGCAGCCACAACAAGTACGCGGGGGAGTCCTTCCCAGGGATTTATGATGCTCTGTTTGATATTGAAAGCAAAGTGGATCGCTCTAAGGCCTGGGGAGAAGTGAAGAGACAGATCTCTATTGCAGCCTTCACCGTGCAGGCGGCAGCAGGGACTCTGAGAGAAGTGGCCTAAGGTGCTTCTGTCGAGACCCCACATTGAATTGGTGTGTTCTATCTCACAGGAAGGATCATCGTGGGTGTATTGACAAACCAAAAATTAAAGGTGTGCATCTTATTATTTGTTTTCTTCTCCTTATGGATCAAAAAAGAGAGGTAGCCCAGCCGGGCGTGGCTCAGCGGTTGAGCGTCGACCTAGGATCCAGGCGATCGGGGTTCGATTCCCGGTCAGGGCACATGCCTGGGTTGCGGGCTGCAGCCGATCAATGACTCTCTCATCATTGATGTTTCTATCTCTCTCTCTCCCTCTCCTTTCCTCTCTCTGAAATCAATAAAGATATAGTAAAAAACAAACAAACCTTTTTAAAAAAAAAAAAGAGAGGTAGATGATTTTTATTCTATAATTACAGAAGGTTATTCTGAAGTTGAACTATGTGTTAAAATTAAGAACAGCCTAATATGTTAAAACTCTTATGTGGCATTATCAGGGAATCGAGTCTAATTCAGCACTCCAAATCTACTCTTGGCATTGCACACAAAGAAAACATCAGTTTGTCCCTGGCCGGCATGGCTCAGCGGTTAGATTGTTGGCCCACACAATGAAGGATCGCGGGTTTGATTCATGCTCAAGAGCATATACCTGGGTTGCAGGTTCTATCCTGGCCCTGGTCTGGGCACATGTGAGAGGCAACCAATCGATGTGTCTCTCTCATATCCATGTTTCTCTCTCTCTCTTCCTCTCTCCCCTTCCCCTTCTGTTCCTTCCCTCCCTTCCATTCTTTCTAAAAATCAATGGAAAAAATATCCTCAGAGGAGAATTTAAAAAAAAGAGAGAAAATGTCGGTTTGTGCAAGGGCACATGGGAAAATTCACAGGGCTGCTCCAAGCCAGAGGCCTCGAGCCCTGCCTGTCCCCTGAGGCTGAGAGGATACTATGTTACCACATTAGTTAGACAATAAGTATAATGAAAAATAATAAAGAAAATAACATTTGTAATCCCCCCAACCCCAATAACCAGATGAAGAAAATGAACACTACCAGTATCCTTGGTCCCCTCCGTGTATTGTTGGCCAGTGTGCCTTCCTCTTCTCCCAGAGATACTCACTTTCTTGAATTATATGTTGCTCTTTCCTGTTATTTATAATTTTACCACACATGGCTAGATCGCTTATATGTTTTTGGCTTTGTGTATTTTTTGAACTTTTTATGATAAATAAAATTATACCATGTACATTATTCTAGTACTTGACTTTTTTCACTAATGTTTGAAGTTTGATCCATGCATTATTGTGGCTTTAATTCACTAGATTTCGCTGACACAGGCATCCACTTGCATGAATATAACATTTATTAGTCAAGGTCCAATGAAGACAGAGAAACCACGCAGAAACATAGATAGGGAAAATGACTATAAAGAATGATTGATCATAACAGCATTGCAGCAATGAGGCCTTGTCTGGTAAAAGGTCAAGAGAACTCTAGAGAGTAGAACAGCAGATACAAAGAGTGGTCACTGTCCCTAGGTCTGAGATGGAACAACCAATGAAGAGTCTTCCCCCACCCCATGGGCCTCCCTGACTATCAGAGAAGTAGCTGTGGTGCTGCACAAGAAAAACTTGCTATAAATCTGCTCCCTGGAGCTCCCCAGAGACTTATCTCTAGAGCACTGTGGGAAACTGTTTATGGGGAAGTGTCTTGCCAGAGGCATTCTACTTACAAAACCAGTGAAGGGCAATGTTGGAAGAAGCTCCTACTGCTGGCTTTGCTCCCACCTGGAACTTCAAGAACCAGGTAAGACCTATTGTAGTTAATATATTTTAGGTTTATAATGAAGGGTCACTGAAAGGCATACATAGTCATTTTATGTGGGCGTAAAAATGTAAGATCAAATAATGGCATCAGACCAACTATTCTAATTACCAGCTAAAGGGATCTGTTGTTTCCTTAAATAGATAAAGCAATTACATAAATACAATCAAAACGATTTAACTCATGTTTACACCTACCATAACCTAATCTCTGGTTAAGAGTATATAGTTCAAATCTTTAAGAAAATTTTCTTAGTCTTTGGAAATTCTACAAAAGGGCTTAAGAATGAAATTTAGTCTTCCACAGGATGGATGCACTGGTGAAGCCATATCTGCTTCAGGGGCCAGATGCTGGAGGGGCCAGGTGGTGGCTCATTTGCATACATGAGCCACCTGCCAAGGGAGCAGGTGGGAACAGGGAAGGAAAACACTTCCTTTCAGTGTCTCTCCATTGCCTTCTAGTCACAAAGTTTAACATCATGCCCCTTGGCAAGGAAAACATATTTAAAGGGTCCAGATCCATTTACAAAGAGCAGGCAATGAGTAAATTTGGAAGTATTGTAGTAAGTTGGATAACTGGCACATATATTTCTTCATTTTTTCTGCTGGTGGGCATTTGCACTGTTTCTTGTATTTTGCTCTAAAAACATGTCTGCCAATACATTTATAATAATAAGGTATCACTCTAGTTGGTTAGAGCGTTGGTCCTCGGACTGAAGGGTCCCATGTTAGATTCCTTTCAAGGGCACACACCTCAGTTGCAGGCTCCATCCCTGGCCCTGGTGGGGGCCTGTGCGGGAGGCAACCAATCGATGTGTCTCTCTAACACTGATGTGTCTCTCTCTCTCTCTCTCCTCCCCTTACACTCTCTCTGAAAAGCAATGGAAAAAATGGACTCAGCCTGTTCCATCACTGAATGTCCCTCTTGTAGGCAGGACC